CGTCAGCCTCTCTGCTCCTATGATGCTGCTTGGCCTGCTGTGTTCATCCAGCCCTGCACCTTGTTGTCTTAGTTATAAATCAATACTGTGGCTAAAACAGCAGGTCAGGGTCTAAGAATTCTATGGTGAGTAACTCACATCCTGACTCCCCAAAGCCTTTCCACCACCTAAATGGCCTAAGTAAGGAGTCTGATGGAATACTTCCCACTTGCCTGGATGGGGGCAGCCCCAACAACACAAGACGCATGACACCATCCAGGACAAAACAGCACACACTTGATTGGCACTCCCTCCACTGAAACTCAGTCGGTATGTACCATCTACAAGACGCATTGCAGAAATTCATCAAGGCTTTTAGAAACACAAAATTGCATTAGTAGGCCATTCAGCACTTCAAACCTGCACCATCATTTATTACAATCATGGATGACAATTCAATAGTCTATTCCTGCTTCCCCTCCCCAATATTCTTTGATCCCTTTAGTCCCAAGGGCAATATCCAACTCCATATTGAAGTCATACAATGTTCTGGCCTTAACCACTTTCTGTGGCAGAGAATTCCACAGGCTCCCCACTCTCTGGATGAAGAAATTTCCCCTTATCTCAGTCCTAAATGACCCAACTCATGTCTTCAGACTGTGAACCCCAGGTTCTGGCTTCTCCAGCCTTCAGGAACACTCTTCCTGCATCTACCTTGTCAAATTTTGTTAGAATTTTATGCATTAGAATTGAGAATCCCCTCTTATTCTTTTCATCTCCAGCAAAATTCAACTTCTCTTCATACATTGATTCCTGGGATGATGGGACTAATCTGGTAAACCTCGGTTGCATTTCTTCTATATTCAGAACATCCTTCCTCAGACAGGGAGGCCAAAACTGCACACAATATTCCTGGTGAGGTCTAATTAAGGCTGTATATAACTGCAGCAAGACATCCCTGCTCCTGTACTTGAATCTTCTTGCTATGAAGGCCAAAGTACCATTTGCTTTCTTCTCTGCCTGCCATATGCATGTGCTTACCTTCAGCAGCTGAAGGGATATGGGCCAAATGCTGGCCAATAGAACTAGATTAATTTAGGATATCTGGTCAGTACCTTTCAAACCACATCCAGAAGGACAAAGGCAGCAGATATATGGGAACACTATAAGCTGCAAGTTCCCCATCCAACCTGCTCACAATGCGCACTTGGAAATATATCACTGCTCTTTCAGTGTCATGTGGTCAAAATCTTGGAATTCCTTCCCTAAGGGATGATGAGTCAAGCTATAGCACATGGACTGCGGCTCACCATCACCTTCTTAAGGGGCAACTAGGGACAATACTGGCCTAGCCAGAGACATCTACATTCCACAAGTGAATAAAAATAAGTATATTGGAGGTTGGGGGAGGTTGTTGTGAACAAATTGGCTGCGAAATCCTGTACCTAACAACAGAAATGACACTTTTAAAAAAAAAACAAGAGAGTACTCCATTAGCTGAGAAATGCTTTGGGACACGAGGAGGTCATGCAAGGCACTACGGAAATGGAAACGATTTTCCTCTTTGTGCCAAACTCACTTTGCAGTTGACAGAAAGTAATCGTGGGATGTCCTTGGGTAGCTCATAGTGTTGACGATGGGAATCTCAATCCTAGGCTCCTCGTTTGAGTCCCACATTGGTTCATGAATGTTTAAAGAGATCGAGAGGTCCAGTAACAGTGTCTCTCTCTTGGGTCCAGTAGGTCTGAGCTCAAGTTCCGCCTGCCCCAGGGAGGTCTGAACTTAAAAAAAAAGGGCTAGGAAGTGAAAACACTGCAGGGCAGCAATAACGTGCTGTAAGCATGTTTTGCACCTCCAGTTTCTCACCCCTCCCCAACACCTCAATTACTTATAAATTTTTCCACCAGTTTGTACTTTTACAAGTAAGCCAATGATACTAACACCCATCGTGCACACATATCCAGGAGATTGGAAGCAGGCTTGAATTTTGCTGAAAGAGGAGTCGAGGATACTAGACAGCAGTATAACTTCAGTCCACACGATTCATCCAGACACTGCCCGTTATAGCCCACGTACAGACTGAGGGAGACTGCAGTTTGGATCTGACTTATCCTGAATGGACTGCATGACAGTACGTGACAGGGTGGGAGGATCCAAAGCATTTTGCTCCTCTTCGTAAAGACGATCACTTCAATAAAACAAACAATCAGCTGAAAACAGACACCAGCCTGGACCTTGCAATCCAAGTGTCAATTTTCTGATGTTTAAACATAGCAGACTAACTCTGTGTCCAGGGATGTGCAGGCTAGATGGGTTAGCCATGGGAAATACAGGGTTATAGGGACAGGGTGGGGTGGACGGTCTCGGTAGGATGCTCTTCAAAGGGTTGGTGTGGACTCAATGGGCTGAATGGCCTGCTTCCACACTGTAGGGATTTTAAATGATTCTACAAACTCACTGTAGATTCTCGTCAATCTACAATGAGTTTAACCAGCTTCTAACTCTCACCACCCTGGCCAAAGCCAGTCTCTTAGCCGGAAACCATCGATTAATTCCATTTAGCCGCAAGATCAATAACTCAGTGGTGGGACTACTAATGACATTACAATAAGCGCTTCCTCACACAGGGCTAACTGCACTGACCAGGCAATTAATTTGATGGTCCTGTAATTAGTTTAGCAATTCCTTGCAAACAAATCTGGAGCCAGACAGATTTTAGAATTGTACACAACGTGTAAAATGGCAACAGAATGTAATGGATTGCTGTAAACATTCAGTACAACATGTTCTCTGGACACTTGGAAACAAAAGTTGTTTTTCTTATAAAGAGGAATAAAAATATTAAGTTAAGAAGAAGGTAAACAAGTAATTTGACAGCCCATCAGATCTGCATTTGCTGTAAATGCATGTTTACTGAAACCACTGCAGTCAATTGTCATTAGCTTCCCCATTGCCTAAAGTTTTAACTAGGAAAAATAAACCATTTCTTAAATTTTTTATTACAAAAGTGATCTGTTTAAATTAGATTGGTTCAAAAGGCTCAACTGAAAGCATTAATAGTGCTATTTAGATGTTAATATTTATACAGATTTACTGGCTCTATGCACTGTTAAAGAAGCTTCATCATTCCCTAACAGATTTAATTTCAACGATTCTTAGATGTGTTTTGACACTACACAAATACAGACACTCAGGGTCTCAGAGTGCACCAACTGTTTTTACTGAAGTTCCAGTCTCCACACTGGTTTTGTCCATGAGCCTTTATTTCATTAACTATTTCAAACACGCACAGCACAGGGGTCCCCAAAGACAGTTAAATGCAAATGAGATACTAATGATAGTTTGAGAATGCCCTCTTTTCATTCCTTTATTTCAGTTAAAGGAAAAACTACTGCCTCTCACTGTCGTCTGCACAATTCATACAGGGGACAAATTTGGTAAAAATTAAGAAGACACCAGTGTTTTTGCTGCAGCTGATATGATCAGTGCAGTTGTGACAGAGTCAGACTCAGATTGCTCTAATTAACCCAGCTAACAGGGCGACATTCACAGCTAAAGAACTGCTTACAGACCTGGCTGTGTAACACAAGCTGCCAGGAGCAGCACTGGTACAGACTAGTGACTACACACCGTCCTCTCTGAGATTAAGAAGGCACTTACAGAGGGGAAACCTGACAACCTTTCACTACACACTGAAAAAAAAACACACACACAATCTCAAACAAGATCAGACAATCTCCCAGAAATAAGCTGTAAACATATATAAATGTAATTCAGCTTCCTAACAGCTTGACTTTGGTCCTACACAACAAACGAGTCAGCTAAACACAGCTCAAATTCAAACAGTACAACACTGACACTTCTCTCAACTCCGTATACCTCTTACCAGCCAGTGTCCTTACCTCCTGCCTGGAAAATGAGCTGACACACTACACCATTCCCACTCGTTCTTCCTACACACCAGCAAAGAAAAATTCTACAATTCATTTGCATTCCAAAATGTATCACATGACAGAGATTTTCCCAATAGCCACGAAGTACTATCCCAAAGACACTCCCCTCTACTTTAGGGTCAGGTCCATACTAACGGGGCTGTACCACTGTGCATTACAACAAGGGGTGGCTGCAGAGAGACGTTTGATGCTTTTTATTTGCTTGTTATGCCAGCCACATAAACAGCAACTTGCAAAAGTGATACACCATAGACTGGGGCCGACTAAGGTGATAACACAATTGGACCATTTTGATCACAGCTAGCTCCTGGCTCCTTCTATCCAAGGCAAGAGCTGCAAACACACAAAGCCAATCCCGTACTGCTTTGTATGTTTATTTCACATTGACAATAGTGATATTTTCTTGGCCAGCCATCAGTGGATGTGTTTTTAATCAATGTGTTGCCAACAGTAGGTAGTTTATTTGCTGCAGCCTCTGTTGCCTGGCAACAGTCTGCTGACATTCTCTACAGGAAAAATGCCAGATATTCTCCATGAAGTCTCCTGCTCTCGTGATGTGATGCCAAAGTGATACTGCATCACTTATTCTCAATGAATGCAAATTTATTGCATATTCACACACACACACATATCCCATTGTTAGGAATTCTGAACACAAAGCTATTCTCCAAAAATAAATATGGATTGAACAAGAGAGGAGCCAAGCTGCTGCATATATACTGCATAAATGGAGGGAGTTCATAGTGCACAGTTTCTACACAGTGAGAAGAGCAATGATTCAATATGTTTTGCTCTTTTGTGTTTCTGTTTATGTAGAAATATGAATATGCTTTAGCTTGCACATTTACTGAAGCAGTTTTTTTGTACAACAACAATGTGCATTTTCGTGGTGCCTTTTACAGCATCCCAGAGCTAACCAGATAAGATCGGACACCAAGCCACATATTAGGCCAAACAACTGAAAGCCCGATAAACAAGGCATAGGTTTTAACAAGTGACTTAAAGCATGTGAGCAGTGAAGAGGTGGGAGGGAGGGGACTCCCCAGCCTCAGTTCACAGCAGTTGAAGGCATGGCCCTCAATGAAAGTGTGGTCCAAGTGAGGGATGATTAAGAGGCCAGAATTGGAGAAATGCAGATATTTCAGAACTTTGTGGAGCTAGAGGAAGGTGCAGAGATAGTGAAAGGGTAAACAGAGGCCACAGAGGAATTTGAAACATGGAGAGTAACTTTAGTTTTCCTTGGCATTGCTTCACTGGACGCCAATGTTGGTAAGTGCATGAAGATTGGAGTGATGGGACTTGGTGCAACTTTGAACAACACCAGCAGAGATTTAGAGTTTACCTTGGCTAAAATACAGGAGACCAGCTGGGAACATGTTGCAATAGTCAAATCTAGGAATTACAACTAGGGTTTCAGTAGCAAGAGGTGGGCCAAGTTAGACAATGTTCCTAAGATGGTATTGGGCAGTTTCAGTGATTGTAGGAAAGTATGATCAGCAGCTCAACTCAGGGTTCAATGTGATCCTAAGATTGCAAATAGACTGGTGCAACTTCAGTAAGGGCTATAGCCAGCTGCTGGAGAACAGTGTTTGTGCTAGGTACTGAAGACAATGGTTTTACTCTTACCAAATTCTGAATGATCGCTATCTACAAGTTCGCTGATGACACCACCGTAGTGGGATGGATATCTAACAACAACGAGTCAAAATACAGAAGGGAGATAGAAGGCTTTGTGACATGATGCAATGAAAACAATCTGTCTCTCAATGTCGACAAAACTAAAGAAAATATTATCGACTTCAGAAAGAAAGGAGAACAGGCCTTCATCTACATTAACGGAATTAAGGTAGAGAGAGTGAAGAACATCAAGTTCCTCGGAGTAACGATAACCGACGACCTGCCTTGGATGCCCCACATAAATGCGACAGTCAAGAAGGCAAAGCAACACCTCTTCTTCCTCAGGCAGCTCAGGAAATTTGGCACATCCATAAGGTCCCTCACCAACTTCTACAGATACACCATAGAAAGCATACTGTTCGGGTGCATAACGGCCTGGTACGGCAATTGGTCTGCCCAGGACCGTAAGAAACTACAGAAGGTGGTGTGCACAGCCCAGACCTTCCATCCGTGTACTCCATTTACTTTGCCTGCTGCCATGGAAAGGCGATCAACATCACCAAAGACCCATCGCACCCTGGTAATGACCTCCCATAACCTCCTCCGTCAGGCAGAAGGTACAGAAGCCTGAACACATACACAAGCAGGTTCAGGAACAGCTTCCTTCCAGCCGTTATCAAACTAATGAATGGACTCTAGCCTCAAATAATGTAACCTGCAATGTAACCTGTATGCCTCTAAGTCTTTTTGATCAGTACATCCTTTGCTTGTTGTGATCTGCCTGTGCCACTCATAAACATGGCTTTTCACTGTATTTTGGTACACATGACAACAAAATCAAAATCAAATCAATAGTCAGTCACAGGAAAGTTGTGATCATTCAGCTCTGGGTGTTAGACAAACAGTTGATGCATTAGTGACAGTAGAGGGGTTGAGAAAGGTGGTGGTTGGGTCTTGTTGGATGTAGGCAGCATACATGTAGAAACAGACGTGTTTTCTGTGAAATGGTGAGAGATACCATTCTTTGTTCACTAAGTCTCTGCATTTAAAGCAAAAACATGTTTTCCAATGTAAAACAGAATTGTGTCCTTGTCAACAAACCACACAAACAGAGATGAAGAAGACAGAAATGGAAAATAAATACCAGGAAATATTTCAAACAAGCAACAGATGCACAAGCAAAGGGAAATGCTGCATTCATATTTTGACTCAGATGCTTTGTTAAACCTCTGTATTTTCAAACATTGATCAAAATAGATTGAAGACTCGGTCTAAATGCCAGGTCATTTTACTGCAACAACATCTCTCTCAAACCTCTGAAATAGTCAGACTCCTTGTTGAAACAAGTGAGCAATGATGTCCTCCAGCTTAATATTAGGAAGGTGAGGTTATCTAATTAACCACAGTCCACAGAGGCATCTTTCTCAATTAAAAGAAACACTTGATTGTCTAGAGCTTGAGGGCACCTCTCTTGTTATGTTCATCTTAGACATAAACATACCAATCACATACAAGGATTGGTGAATCAATAAGGAATAGAATAGAATATCCTTTTGTTGTCACGTATACTCCGTTGTAGAAGTACAGTGAAAAGCTTTTATTGTCTGTCTCTTATGGTGCCATCTTAGGAGTTTAAAAATAAGTTAGAAATAAGAAATTATTAAACGATAGACTTTACAGCCAGGTAAAAAAAATTCAAATAACTGTTATATTGTAGCAGCTCAGCACAGGGCCTCCGCACTGTGATCTGACCACCCCAGGGCAGACGCCAGTCCAACAGCCATCCTCGCTCTGCTCCAAGCCTCCAGTCCCTTTATTTGGGTTGTGCGTTCTTTATTTGAAGGTAAGATTATGTTCACTGAGAGCTACGTATAATGCATGTGACTGCTGCTTCAGTCATGAGACAAGTCATGAGGGTAATACCTCATTTTTCTGTTGAGGCAGTTTAAGTTATTTTCATCAAGGTATACGCACATCATATCACAACAAACTCTACTAATTTGGGGCAATATGTGTGTGTCGACATTTGTGAACTATCACAGGCAGTACACAGACTGGATTTGCACTGTTGGTGTTCTGTACCACATTATAGATGTCTAGCAAAGTCAACCAATTGACAATACCCCAATATTGGAAAATTGTCCTCACGCCACCATTTCCCTCGAATGGGCCAATCCGCCTCTATTTTATACTTGTCATTTTCTCACATGTTTTGATGTTATTCCTCATGTTTCCCGGTAGATAGAGAGCGCAGCCTCTTGTCTGGTTACCATGGAGGAACACAAAGCCCACCTCTACCAGGCAAATGGAAACCAACTTTCAAATGTACAGAGCGAGCAGGGACTATGATTGACTCCAAATAGGTTGGTGGTTCATTCACAGAGTTATCAGAGTTGGGTAAAACTCTAAAAGTCCTGAATATGTTTGTCTTATTGCAGTTTTTGCAAATTAAGCATATCTGTTCCAGATCATCAGCTCTATGCTTTATTACTGAATCCTGAACAATTCTGTCAATGTTGTGGAAGATCACTATATTATAGCCAGTGAGATCTTCCTATGGTTACATTCTGATAAAACAAAGTGTTAACCAGTTTAACTATTCATTGGGTTACCTGAAGTGATCACAGACAGATCAAGTGCTTCATTTTGAAAATGTTACGAATGCAATTGGCTCTAATTGCTGTGACTTACCCACTTTGAAAATCCATGTTAAAAACAGTTGGTGCATAATGTGAAAGAGGCCAGAGCTGCCATTTTAGAACTTTACTCAAAATGGCAGTTACGCAACAAAGGAAGCCCAGGTTTTTTACATTTAGAAGGAAATATGAGAAACATCCATTCACACAAACATCTCTGCTGCAACTGCCTCAGTTCCAGTTGAAGTTGCACAGACAGACAAATGTTTAGTCATAAGCGTAGTGATTTTTTAAGAGAACATCTGGTGATTGTAAATTCTTGGATCTAATAGGAAAGTGTTGCCACTTTAACGATCCTTTGTTTAATGTCTACAGACAGCTACCAGCTACGTGCAGAAATAATGATCATCCTCATAAATAGTGACTATTTATTTCGTCCTGTTATCGAGCCAATTAGAGAAAATGGGAACACTGGTTACAACATGCAATCTCCTGCAATTTGTTTTTGTGTTTTCAGGTATATGACTGCTCTCTCGAATTAACAAGTGGAGGGCCTGACTGTGCCGAGCCTGAAAAGGTGATGTAGCTTTAATGCAGTTGGTGTACAGCCAATTACAGGGAATATTAAATTACAAATTGGGATAGGATTAACCTAATCCTGCTCCAACATTAAACATGGTATCACATCAGTTTTTTTAATAGCAACATTCAGATTAGACACATAAAGATTTAACAAATCAATATACAGAAAAATCGACTGTGTTTGGAATTAAATATGTTAACCGTTTAGGTGAAATTGCACATGATGAAAA